AACCCTAAACCCTAAACCCTAGACCCTAGACCCTAGACCCTTAACCCTAAACCCTAAACCCTAAACCCTAAACCCTAGACCCTAGACCCTAGACCCTAAACCCTAAACCCTAAACCCTAAACCCCGCTGCAAGGAGCAGCGACCGAGCCTTGACCATGGCGGCTAGCTGCTTCCGCACGTAGACCGGGTCCAAACCCTCAGCGGAGGCGTCGGGTTTAGGACTTTAAGGTTTAGGGCTTTAGGGGTTTAGGGTTTAGGGGTTTAGGGATTTAGGGCTTAGGGTTTAGGACTTTAGGGTTTAGGGGTTTAGCGTTTAGGGTTTAGCCATAACCTTCAACTAGCACTGTAGGGGTTTAGCCGTTTAGCCATAACCTTCAACTAGTAACGTAGGGGCCTCAACAATTAGAGTAGGGTTTTGGGGCCTCCTTATTATAATTCCTGTAAGATATACCCCCAGACCCTATTCTAATTATTAAGGCCCATGTATGAGATGGTATGGGAGCTTCATCACTTACCCTTACCCTCAAAGGACTCATAATTTTAAGGCATTTGGGCCCACAGACCCGATTATAAAAGGCTTTTGGGGCTATTTTGATGCTAAGGGTTAGGGTTCAAGTTTAGGATTGAGAGGTTAGGGATTATAGGGTTTAGGGTTGAGTGTGTAGGGTTGTATGGTGCGGGGTTGTAGGTTCGCGGTTGAGGGCGTGGGGCTTGTAGTACGTAGGAGTTTGCATACATCAGCGGTTGCTACAGCACACCCCTGCAATGCATCCCAGTAAAGCAAATTGCAGCGAGCTTCCTTCACAAGTTTTCTGAAAAAAAAACCCTAAGTATTTTAAGAATGGGCCCTCTCCTCCGTCCTGCTCTTTTTCGCAAAAGGGGCTATCACTGCCGCACAGCCCACAATCCGTGAACCACTCTGAACCTAAACGCCAAATCCTAAGAATACCCAACTTCGGAATGCTTAGCCCCAAAAATCCGCATAGTCCTTGATCCTGACCTCCCGGAACTTGAAACCCCTAAAACATCGAAAAAGAGGAACAAAGGAGCCGGACTCAAACCTTGAATAGCCTTCGGGCTTTGGGGCTTCGGGCTTTTGCAGGGTACCTGCGCAGCCTAGGATTTGGGGTTTAGGGTTGTCCGAACCACTCGAGCCGCTCTTTTTGAGTTCAGAGAAGAAGGGCCCCAAAACATCCGGGTACCAAGGGACCCGACCTGAGGCCACAGGGTTTAGGGTTTAGATAGACTCAAATGGACAAAAAGCCTTGTAGCAAAGTGCAAAGATCTTGGGAACGTCCAGGGTGCATACCCACCCTGGTAAAGGTCTTGTGGTTCGTACTGGTGGGTATTTAAGCGCTGTAGAGGACGAACTGGGGAGGCTGGGCAACTCTCACACACTGAGACAGGTGATCGAGAAAAGGTGCATATGGGCATCATATGGGTAGTTCTCTAAACTAGGGTCCCTCTTTAGGTCCCCAATATAATACGGCACCCTTATAAAACGGACCCCAAAAGGGACCCTAACTTAGAAAACTACGCATATCCCTGTCTGAGGCCCAGACAGCAGGCTTGGCCGGGGCGACGCTCTGTGCCTGTTGCGAAGATTTCGTTACCACTAGGACCCTTTAAGTGACAAATTACCCATCTAGCCATAGGCCCCATAGTAGTTCCTTTTTGGGATTACCGTATAGGATTCTGAATTCTGAATATGAACCCCAGAAAGGAACTAGTATGGGGCCTATGGGTGGCTACATAGTTGGGTCTATCGGGTTTAGGGTTTAAGGTTACCTAGGGCATCTAGGGTTTAGGGTTTCAGGTTAGATAACTGGGCTTTGGGTAGTCATTGACAATTCATGTCGTTCCGTGTTTCGTTTCGTGGACTATCAAATGAGTATGTGCCTGTTTTGGGGGTTGAAGCTTTAAGGAGCCTTAAAAGTTAGAACAGGGTTTTGGGCTCCTTTATTATAGTACTACTATAAGAAGGAACCCCACAATAGTATAGGTAATGATTTCGGCTTCTATATATATATATATATGAATTAGTTTAAGGGTTGGGCCTTTGAAAGGCGCATTGAAGACAGAGTGTTGAGCTCTTGGCGTGGGGGGGAATTACAATTCATGCGCGCATGCGGTGTTCAAGGTCTTCAGCCCTTCACCCGAGCCTCAACACAGGCTCGAGGGCCTCTGGTGTTCACGTTGTCACAATCCTGATATGTATATAATAAACCCTAGATCTGATGGGTTTAGGGTTTAGGGTTTAGGGTTTAGGGTTCAGAAGAGAAGCTGAAGTGAGCTACAACGGCCCTTGAGCCATTACCCCTAACTCAAACCTTTTCAACCTCGAAACCTGAAAACTCCAAAGCTCCATCACTAAATCCTGCAAGTAGGCTTCAAGCCTGCAAATGCTCTTTCAGACCGTGTTGTATAATTCTGAACAGAACCGTTTCCGCAAGCCCACAATTCGAAAAGCAACAGTAATGTAGAGGCCTTAATAATTAGAATAGGGTTTTGGGGGGCGTTCCTTATTAGAACTATAGTATAAGATTTTCCCCAGACCCTAGTCTAATCATTAAGGCCCTTAAAGGGGATTTCCGAAATTAGGGGATCCTAATATAGCACCCTAAATGGTAGGATCCTTATTATAAGGACCCCAAAATAAGGTACCCCATATTTTGGGAAACTCCCATATGTTTTTCTAAACCCTCAACCCTCAACCCTAAGCCCTGAACCCTAAACCCTCCTTATTTTGGGAAACGCCCATATTATGTCAAAAAAGGCCTCCGGCTGTGCCGTCGGCGCGGCTGCAGCTCCGGGCTGCGGAGCTAAGAGCTGCGGCTGCTCGATCCTTGGAACAGATCGGATGAATTAGGATTAAGGGTTTAGGGTTTAGGGTTTAGGGTTTAGGATTTAGGGTTTACGGTTTACGGTTCAGATGAATGTGGGGGTCCTGGTTACAGGAAACTACAGGTGGGGAGTTTAGGGCTTAAGGGTTTAAGGGTTTAGGGTTTAGGGTTTAGGGTTTAGGAAACTACAGGTGGGGAGTTTAGGGTATATAGGGCTTCTATGAGGCTTCCATAAGGCAAATAGACCTTCTATAAGGGCTCCTATAACGGTAACTACCCACCCGAAAAATGTCCTAGACCTGGTTGCCTTCGGGATGCCAAAGCTTTTGTCTCAGCTGGTGTTTTACATGGATCGGAGTTGTTGTTCTCGTTCGTTCTTGTGGTTTGCCCTAAACCCCAACCTAAACCCCTAAACCCTAAACCCCTAAACCCTAAACCCTAAACCCCTAATCCCTGAACCCTAAACCCCTAAACCCCTAAACCCCTAAACCCTAAGTCCCTTAATCCCTGAACCCTAACCCCTAAACCCCTAAACCCAAAGTCCCTTAGTCCCTGAACCCTAAACCCCTAAACCCTAAGTCCCAAACAGCATCTGCGGCCCGGCTGCTGCACCTGCGCTGCGCGCTCCTTCTCGAGGCGCTTCTCCTGCAGAGTTTGTCGAGGGTTTATAGGGTTGCTGTAAGGGTTTATAGGGTTTAGGGTTTAGGGTTGAGGGCTAGGGTTTAGAGTTGAGGGTTTAAGGGTTTGAGGGTTTAAGGGTTTAGGGTTTAGGGTTCAAAGTTAACATAGCTTGTGTTACATGGGTTGCTTTCCGGGGTTTAGCAGTTTGGGAGTTAGTTTCCTGGTCTCTTCGTCGGCTTTAAGACTTCAAGATACTCGATTAGCAATTTGTTCCTAAATCCTGGAGCTATCTAGTTCAGCTTTTTGGGCTAGTTTAGGGTTTAGGGTGTATAGGGTCTACGAGTAGTCGGGGCTCTAGTTCAGGTCAGGGGAAGGCCGTTCTGATGTGGAGGCCAGGTAATCAGGTAATATAGGAGCCTCAATAATTAGAGTAGGGCTTTGCGGGTATCTTATAGCTATAGTTACTATAGTTACGACGAGGAACCCCCAAAAAATAGTACTGGTAATTATTCAGGCCCCCTTTTTTAGACCAAGGCTCTTGGCAAAAAGGCCGCAACTAGGTCTCCGCCGTTCCGAGGCAACCCTTCCTGATCGAATTCTGGAACCCACAGAGGGCTCCCGGAGCGTTCATGCCGCAAAAACATGATGGGACGTTGTGAACCTATACCTGATAATCACTGATAACCTACTATTTAAGCGACTTACATAAAAGACAGCGGAAGAGGGAGCTCGAAAAAATGTAGGTTGTTGGGGGTCCAGGCAAACCCTACCCTTATCGTCAAAATAGCCCAAAAGCCTTGTAAAATCGGGTCTTTGGGGCCCAAAAGCCTTAAAATTATGAGCCCTTTGAGGGTAAGGGCTAGAGGCTCGTGCCTGAACTCTGAACGAACCAAGAATCTTCTAGTTATCAAGGTGCATCTACCTCATCTACCTATCTACCTATAGTCACTATAGTCTCCGTTGTCGTTCTTTTGCTTGTTTTCTCTTTTTTGTGTTGGTATCCGATGAGGTAACCTCCAAAAGAAACTACAATGGAGACTATAGGTAGCATGGACTGTATAGGGCCCTAGACCGAGCTTGTAATGCCTAAGTACAGACGATAGAGGCGCAGAAGACTCTTGGAGACACTCCACTTCCAACCTTAAGCTCCTAAAGCCCCTAACCTAGGGGCCTAAATAATTAGAATAGGGTTTGGGGGGTCCTTTATAGTATAATAGATTAAGGACCCCCCATGATAATATAGGTAATTATTGGAGCCCTATACTATTCTAGAACGTCTAGAACCCTTATCGAGCCCATAAACAAAACCTTGAAGGTGCGTGGACCCTTATGGAAACCACACTGCCGCAGGAACCCACAGCCCTCCAGCTTAAGGAAGTTTTTTGAGGGTTTAGGGTTTGGGGCTTGGGGTTTAGGGTTTAGGGTTTAGGGTGTGGAGTGTAGGGTTTAGGGTTATGGGTTGTGCAAGTTTAGGGTTTAGGGGCTGAGGGTTTCGGGAGCACGCCTCCAATGCCTTTCGGAAGGACTGCACCTCGGCGGCGAGGGAGAGTTTGTGTTCTTTTTAAGGAACCCTCTTTCCAAAAGGGTTTAGGCTTTAGGGTTTGCGGTTCAGGGTCTAGGGTTTTGGGGTACCTGTAACTGGGTTAAAAGTTCGGTGAAGGTTATGGCTAAACCCTAAATCCTAAACCCTAAACCCTAAATCCTAAACCCTAGCTTCCTTCAACTTAAACCCTAAACCTGAACCCTAAATCCTAAACCCTAAATTCCTTCACCTTAAACTAAATCCTAAACCCTAAACCCTAAATTCCTTCACCTTAAATTAAATCCTAAACCCTAAACCCTGAACCCACAATCGGGATCGCCCCATGCGCTAGGACCCGCGGCTCGGGGCATCAAGGGATCAACCTCTGAGAGGGGCGACTCCGAGCGCCACTAGCCGTAGGGTTTGGGTTTAGGGTTTAGGGTTTAGGGTTTAGGGTTTAGGGTTTAGGGTTTAGGGTTTAGGGTTTAGGGTTTAGGGTTTAGGGTTAATAATCAAAATAGGGGCTTTTGGGGTTCCTTTAAAGGGCTCCTTGAAGGGTTCTATAAGGGCTACTATAAGGGTTTAGGGTGTGGGGGCCTTAATAATTACAATAGTTTTTTTTTTTTTTGGTGGGGGGGGCTCCTTATTATAATTATAGTATAAGATACCCCAAGCCCTATTCTAATTATTAAGGCATCTTCATTAAAGACAACAGCCTGCAGCTTGGGTTTTTTAGGGTTGAGGGCTTCGGGTTTAGGGCTTAGGATTGAGGGTTTAGGATTTAGGCCTTAGTGTTTAAGGCTTCGGGTTTAGGGTTTAGGATTGAGGGTTTAGGATTTAGGGTTTAGGGCTTCGGGTTTAGGGCTTCGGGTTTAGGGTTTAACTACAGAGGGTTCAATCGATAGCTTTGCCCTGTAGACCTTTAGAAGAAGCCAAACTCGGCACCCAGGACTATCGGTTGCCCCAAAGCTTCAAGCACCATAGGGGCCTTATTTTGTAGTGTAGGGTTTTGTAGTGCTATACAGTACAAGTACAATACGGATCCCAAAAACCCTAAACCCTACACCCCTAAACCCCTAAACCCTAAACCCTAAACCCTAAAAGAAGAACAATACTGGCAATTAGGCCGACCCCTATCTTGGCTGTGTAGTGTACACGTTTGCAAGATAGGGCTTCCCTCCAACGTCGTACCCCCTGTGGCCCAACATAAGGTCCCTGTTCGCAGCCCCCAAAGCAGCCCACAAAGTCATACTTAATGTAGGGGCCTCAGTAATTTCGATAGGGTTTTGGGGCCCATTATACTATACTTATAACAAGGACCCCCCCGGAATAATATAGGTAGTTACTTAGGCCACTATACTACTTACTCTGTCAAGCCCCTGCTTTGAACCCTCATGCTGTTTGGGCACCTGGACACTTCAGCACCTGGTTTGCAAAAAAAACCATCTGCTAAGCAGCGAACCGAAAGAACCTCTAATGTAGGGGCCTTAATCTTTAGAATAGGGCATTGGGGGTTCCTTATTATAACTATAGTATAACATACCCCGAGACCTCTTCCAATTATTAAGGCCCCTATATTACACAGGACTATCCAGGAAAGATGAGCTCAACTGTTGAAGGATGTCCGCCTGTTTAACAGAATTGTAACAGGTACGCATTATACCGTGGAAGCGTCAAACCTAAACTGACCCTAAGCCTAAACCCTAAACCCTAAACCCTAAACCCCATAAACCCCCCGACCCTAAGCCTAAACCCCTGAAGCCTAAACCCAAAACCCTAAACCCTATACGGCTGTACCTCGTCGGCCAGCTGATGATCGCCGATCTCCTGCGTTGCGCTTTTGGGATTTACGGCTAGGGTTTAGGGCTTAGGGCTTAGGGTTTAGGGTTTAGGGTTTAGGGTTTAGGGTTTAGGGCTTTCTGAGGCCTATGAACCCCAGAGCTTAGACGCACCAAAGAGCCTGCAAATCCCGAATGTAGGGGCCTCAACAATTAGAATAAGGTTTTGGGGGTTCTTATTGTAGTTATAGTATGATAGACCCAAGCCCTACTCTAACTATTAAGGCCCCTATATTGCCCGCTAGTTCAAAACTCGCCAGCCCTAGATGAAGTGCGGAATAGAAGTCTGAATGAGGACTCAGGTTTCGAGGTGTAGGTTTAGGGCTTAGGCTTTCGAGCTTAGGGCATAGGGTTCAGGGTCAAGGTTTTTTTGAGACCTCTTTTAGGACTTAGGGTTATTGGTTTAGGGTAGAGGAACTTCCGGGCAAAAAACCCCAAACCCTAAACCCTAAACCCTGAACCCTAAACCCTAAACCCTAAATCCATCCATGTCTCTTTTGCCCGGAAGTTCGTAGAGGTTACGTCCCCAGCAACTCAGAGACTTGGAGTGTCAGGGCGTGCTATTAGGGGGTTTGGTTTGGGGTTTAGGGATTTAGGGTTTAGGGGTTTAGGGTTTAGGGTTTAGGGTTTAGGGTTTGGTTTAGGGTTTAGGGGTTTAGGGGTTTAGGTTTACCCATAGTCTCCATGGCAGCTTGTTTTTGGGGTTACCTTATAGGATCCGAATATATAGAGTGGTTCAACCAAACAAAGGAACTACAATGGAGACTATAGGTAGGGTTTAGAATGTTTGTCTCTTTGAGTTGACGAGCTTTAGGTTTGCTCCTTTCGTGTAATGTAGGGGCCTTAATGATTACAATAGGGTTTTGGGGCCCGTCATACTATACTTANNCCCCCCCCCCCCCCCCGAATAGTAGTGGTAAGCATTGAAGCCCCTATATTACGGGTTGGTCTGCGGCCATGTCTACAAGGCGTTTTCCAACTCCTTGGCGATGAAGTCTGCGCGGTCGACATCTGCAGCCCCTGCCTCCTCTTGTCCTGCAGGACACAGAAGAGTCATACAGGGGAGTTGCTATTTAGCATACGGTTGTGGTGCAGATTACCGTATAATGACATAGGGAACACAAACTGTGAAGCGTCCGCGGAAGCATCATGAAAGCACTATCTCTAATACTCCCTGTCGAGTTTTACTATGGGGAGAACCTAAACCCTACACCCTGAACCC